ACCACATCGCGACACCCTTCGATGCACCGACAGCAACGAAAAAAGGAAAAAATCCTTTTGCACTTGAGTCGTCTCGTTGGAGCACAAAACAACTTCTCCCCCAGAAGGATATAACTGACTAATCGCAGGCACATTACTTGTATGTTGCTGGATGGCTGGAGCCAGAAGATGATTAGTAGGTAGTTAGCAACCATGGCAGCAACAACAAGCCCAAACAATCATTCTCAGGAGGCGGTGCTATCCCCAAACCTGGCAAACTCAGTCTTTAATCTGGACACCCTGTTCTCTTGTTAACACTGGAGTCTTTGATGAAATGTGCCAGTTTTTTTCCTCATAATGGAGATGTGTCTTAATCTCCCTGGCAGCTGCTCCATTCAGCAGCTCTGCCTCTGTGTGTGAGCATTGTGGCCGCGTGGGTTTGTGTAGCGGGCAGCGAAGCGCGTCTACCTGCACGGCGCCGCTCTTAAAGCGGAGCTTCTCTGTCCACTGAGACAAGAAGAGACAAAAAAGAGGACAGAGGAGGTAGGAGGGGAATCACATGTGTCTCATCACAAGGTGGGAGAAGGAGGGGAAATGTTGGCGTGGGCGCTTTGAAGCCGTGGGTGCGACAGGTGTTTCCAACTGAATCGCCGACGAGCCGGCCGAGGTCGTGCCAGGCTGAGGTTACAAAGGGGCAGTGGTTGGTTGGTAGTGGGTGGTTATGAATCCGAGGGGATTGGATAGCACCCCCCCCCACCCGCCAACACACACTTGGATATCGCTGCTCGTAACACGATGCTGCAGCTCGACTGGGAGCAAAATGCGACTCCATTTTGAAAGCAGAGAAACGAGCGTGCTGCACCAATTAATAAAACATGCACACTCGGTGTGATGGTAACAGGAAGTGGAAGGTTGGACGTTTAATGTGAAAACTTTAAATAAAGGTCAAGTCAAAGGACCGTAAATGCATACTTATATAAAATAAAGTTACATAATGAAAGGCGGTCTGAGCAGCGCGCAGTTCCAGTAAAGTAACTGATAACATGCATTTCCCCTCATCTCTGAACATTAAGAGGAAAAGGGAAACGGACAACAATGATCAAAGTCATCTAATGTGTCAGACGCCAAGTTCTCTATTCTCCGAATGTTCAGCAGCTCCACGCGTCACCGATAAAACGTAAACACAAGCGCACATAATCGAGCGTGACTGTTTTTGTGTTATCGTCAGTGATTTCATAAAGCAGACCCACGCGCTCTGCAAGTGGACTCCTGCTAATACGAGACTTCCAAGTGTTTGAAAAGCAG